TGAACCAGCTGCGGTCACTGCCTGAGGAAAGGGGGATTATTTATATTGGCCACATTGTATCTGTAATTTTTTCGTTTTCTTTATCTGGGTTCTTTTGTAAGTGCAAGCTCTGAGGAACAAATTACGGGAATGCATTGAGATTTTTCTTTTTTTGGAGGATTTATAGAGCCAGGAATTAGTAGCTTGAGCACCATTCGCCGTCCGCCGTCCGCCGTCCCCTGTTTTGGGTGCCATGGACGTGAAGAAGCTTCTTGGCTCATTCCAAGTTGCTATGGACTTCGGATTGTAATCTTTCTCGTCTCATTTTTGAATTAAGGGCTTTTATCTGTGGTCGGTGAAATTGGACCTTCCAATCAAAATGGTCTCAAAAGTAAAAATCAATCAATTTGGTCCCTTCGAAAGCTTTTCGTCAAATCCTTTGTTAGTGTTCTTATGCAGCACACGAGCAGATCTCACACACCCAGTGTGCTTAGTTTCATAGTTTGTTAGTGTGCTTGTGCCGTATCAGCTGATGGAAGTACTAAAATTGATTGATTTTCTATTTCAGGAGATCATTTTGATTGAAGGGTTCTGTTTTTAGACCCCAATCTTGATAAAAATTCTTTTGAAAATAAGTAAAAGTCAGCACATGTTAATTCTATTTTGATTTGATTGAAATATATATATATATTTATATATTTTGGTTGAAACGAGCATGAAACCATACTAATGCTTGGACTTTCCGTGAGCAAATTTGAAAATATTATTTTCTAATCATTAAAAACGCTTTTGGTAAAAAAAAAATATATCTTTTCAATAAGAATGACAAGTCTTCAAAAAAAATTTCAAAAAAAAAAATCTAACAAAACTGCAAACGGGCTTGAAAGTCCACAGAAACCCCTTGGTGATTATCAGATCAATGGGAGCAAGGTGTGAGTGGGTTACCAAACCAGATTAAACCAAACAAATAAGCCCAAGACAGCCCATAATATAGCAAGGCTGTCAGCCTTCTCTAACTTCTATAAAGAGGAAGGACTTACCGACACTCTTTTGGAGAGATTTTTAGTGTGCTCAAAATACGAAGTGATATATTACGTGTTATTATAAAAATTGTGAGATATTTATGTTAAAAAGTTAACAACTTAGATAATCTCGAAAATAGATGCCAAATCCTAGGTAAAATGTCAGCTAATCACTTTTAACATTAAATATTGCTCCAACCGAACAGTCTTTTAATCGGAATGAGGATCCTCAAATCGTGTCCATTCATCGTACATCGTACGGTTAGAAATTATTTTAAATACTTTTATTTAAAATTAAATATGAATAGTATTTAACAAAAATTGATCATATAATATACGGAGATAATTTGAAAATCTCTATAATCCTCACAAAGAGAATACGTAGAGGATACTCATTCTTTTAACTGACCTGGAATGGCTTCTAGCGTCAAATTTGACGCTGCCTACGTTTGCAATATATTTATTTTTTAATTGGTAGGTCCTCTAATCCACTAGAATATAAAGATTTAAAATGACTTTTCTTTTTGCTAAAAAAAAATGATTTTACTTTTTATTTTATTTTAAAGTGGGTCCTATATGATAGTAAAATAATAACTAACATATCAGTTGAAATATAAACAAATTTAACAGCGTGCTTCACAATGTCATATTAGCCATCAATTAAGAATCTAACAGAAAAAATTAACATACCTATTGAAGATGCTCTTTAAAATTAAGATTTTCAACCAATTATAAATAAGGAAAATTAATGAAAATGGCTTGAAAATTTTGAGTTTTAACGAAAATGACAAAAAGGTGCCCTAGTGAATAGTACTAGGATTAACTTTATAGAGTAAAATTGTGTTTTTTCGTTAAAGTGAACAGTATCAGAAGCTTTTCGTTAAAGTTCCCTTATAAATAACATGTAGTGTACCATCTATGTTAGGGGCACAATGAAAAATTTCTCCACTTTTTGATATGTCATTGTGACATTTGATGTCAGTATCGTAGTAACATGCATTTCAACTTTCTACATGACATCGAATTATTAGTTTGGGATGTTGTGATAGCCTCACACGGTATGTAGGCAAGGCAAGTCTCTTCTATAAGAGCATCCCCAATAGGAGCTTTATCCTCCATGAGGCTACCACATTTCTAGTTTTAATGAGAAATTTCATCTCCAATGAGTCGGAAAATAGGGCTAGATCCACCACTGAGGCTAGTAACTTGCTTTCTTAGGTAGCATAAAATCAGGCTACATCTAGCCCAAAAAAACAGTGGGTCCCACAAAAAAGTAGCAATCCATGTGAGCAAAGTTCTATCACTCTCCATCCACTTGCGTATACATGAGGCTACCACATTTCTAGCCTTAATGAGAAATTTCATCCCCAATGAGTCAGAAAATGGGGCTAGATCCACTATTGGGGCTAGCAACTTCCTTTCTTGGGTAACATAAAATTGGGCTACATCTAGCCCAAAAAACAGTGAGTCCCACAAAAAAAGTAGCAACCCATGTGAGCAAAGTTCTATCACTCTCCATCCACTTGTGTATACATGAGGCTACCACATTTCTAGCCTTAATGAGAAATTTCATCCCCAATGAGCCAGAAAATGGGGCTAGATCCACCACTGGGGCTAGCAACTTCCTTTCTTGGGTAACATAAAATCGGGCTATATCTACCAAAAAAAAAACAGTGGGTCCCACAAAAAAAATAGCAACCCATGTGAGCAAAGTTCTATCACTTTCCATCCACTTGCGTATACATTTATACTTTCCTTTTATTATTTTTTTATTTCTTTTTTCTTACTTATTTTTCTTGCAATTTGACCAATTAATGATTGTTTTAAATTCTATAAGAATTAAAATTTCAAATTGATTTAACGTTCATGGGCATTGATGGGTGAAATTTTCAAATAATTTTTTTTTTTCAAAATTGTATGATACTAATTTACCAATTGGTGCTAGGTAAATTGTTGTGTTATACGTGAAAATCAAATTATTTCAGAGGTCAAAGTAGGGGTTTGTTTCTTTCAACGGATGAGATTGAAATAAGGGAATCTAATCCAACGAACGATTCATAAGTGATGAAATCTAACTTTGTCACAATTTTGAACTTTTTAGGTTGAAGGGTCCATAAAAAAAATTAAGATAACATGTCCAAAAATCAACTTAAGAAAAGCTAACAAATAAATAAATAAATAAATAAATTATCGCTTAATCAAATTACTACATAAATAAATATATATAGTCCCATTTAGAGCCCGATATAGCCCCTCATTGGAAGATATTCTTTTATAAAGCCTCAAAGATTCATCGGAGCTCTAAAATAAGCTATATCCATCACTTTTCCAGCCCTATATAAAGCCCCTCATGCTCTAATTTTAGATCCCAGAGAAGCACTATTGCTAAACATAAAAAACTTGAAGATTGTTGAAATTTCGTAGTTAGGTGATTAAGAGCGTTCACCAATCAGTTAGATCACAGAAGAGACCCCACATCCTTCTAATCTTATCCACATTTAACTTGGTTTGACTGCGAAGCAAGTCGAAAGCTTCCCCCGCATGCCCTTCTCCAATTTTCTAACCTGTTGCATGAATTTTCCAATCAAAGTATCCAAATGGAGGCTGAAAGTGATTATATAAAACATTATCCGAATTGGGTTTTCTCTAGAATGTTGGCCGGTAGGTTTACTCAAAGTTGAATATTAATTATTCACCTTGCAGCAATTACCCTTGCAAATACATTGAGTTTTATACAATTTTGAAGATCTGGCCAACATCTTCCTTTCCCTTGACTAAGTGTGGTTTCTAATTACCTTTGAACTAAACAATATATTCTCCCATGAAAAACGAACTATAAACATTTTTTTATTTCGTGTTTCTTCTCTCTAAACACAGAAAAGTAAATGCATGGTGATGGGGCAAGAAATTTTATAATTCAAGTGGTTATGAATGTTTATTTATGGATGTTAGGTCGGCTACGAATTTTCATCTCTCAACATCGATGAATTAGAAAATAAAAAATGCATAATGTGAATGTGTAATGTCATCTAATCAGTATACCATCACAATTTTTTAGGGAATTAACTTGGCTCCTCAATAAATTAGGTAGAGTTCCTCCTCAATTCACTCTGTGACTGATTCAAAGAATTTTATGTCTATAATCCGAATTGTTCATATTATATGTAAATTACTTTAAAGATCATTTGTACATCAATTAAATATGAGATTGTTACTCATCAAACCGTGTAAAAACAGATGGATGGATTTGAGAGAAAAATTACAAACTGTTTATCTATTTGCTGCAATTGATTGACCAAACAACCTTAGTTTTAATTATTTCTTTTTATGGTTCGGACCATAAGCACGAAGTTCTGTGAATTAAAAACTAAGTGCATTTCGAAGAACTCCTCCTCAATCTTAAGGTCTTTCTCATTTTTGTAGTATCTAAGTCAACCTCTAGACTTGACATCCAAAAAACCTAACAAGCATCCATATAATCAGGCGGGATTTGTTTAGTGTATGGCCACAATGTCTTAACAAAGCGACTTAATTTCTAGCCTGGGCAATTGGCATCCCCCAAAACCAAACAGAAATCTGCTCTAACGAGTAGTAGGTAGAGCTAATAAGTAGGTAAGAATTGGTTTTCCTTTTTGATTTTTGTTTTTCAAGCTGTTTTCTTTTGCGGGGGTCACGAACCATCTTGTTTTACAAATTCTCTTGTTCGTAGTCTTTTTCTTGTTTCCTGCTGGAAAGCAGCAGTCACGTCACATTTGGTGTGGGCATTGTATGCACAAGTGGGATATGAATTCTCTCCCCTCCCTCCCCTCTTCTCTTATTTGAAGGTTTACGATTAAGTTACGTCATTATCTTATTTTATTTACTATAAGAAAGAAGAAGAGGAAACTGAGAGAGGAGGGAAGGGGAACATGGAGGGAAGAGAATCCAACCCCATACTAGTGCCCCCTTTCATTGGTTTTCTTTTTCTTTTTGTCATTCTTCATAATAATTCCAAAGACATGGTAAACTAGCAAGTGGTTTTTATTTTTATTTTTTTGGATAGGATGCAATTACATGGGCCTCGATAAAAACTTTGCCGGAAATTTCAATCCGGTCAAATTAACAAAGAGCGTCCCTCACCACCATATTTATAAATTAGTTATATTCTATAAACAATAAAAAAAAGCCCCAAAAAAACAAACCACAATCCAAAATACAAACAAAATGGGAAGTCCCTACAAGTAACACTATAAACACTCTGGATAAAACCATACGATTGAACTTTTTTGATGAGCTCTTTTAGGTCAATAAACTTGATTATTGAGTGATAAGTGATCAGGTAACAAGCTTGCAGTGTCCCTACAAATTAAACATGACTTTAATAGCATTGCCTCCACGAGCACTGGTCTCAAAGGCATCTTCCACTTCCTTCTGGGAAAATCCGAAACGGTGCGTAATAAGAGGTTTCACGTCGATCTTCCCGCTTCTCAGAAACTCGATGCAAAGCGGCCACGTATTCTTGTATCGGAAAATTCCAACCACATCCACCTCCCTGTGTTCAAACACACCAAAAAGAGGAAATGTTAGATACGACCAAAATTTGTAAACTCGCACTTTGGTTTATAGTGCCCTAATAAATTTGTTGACGTAGGACAAGAAAGAGGTCGATCCTTATCGAGAAAAGAAAGAAAAATAAGACCAAATTTGCAACCGCACTCTTTGACCTAGCTACAATTAATTCCCTAACAATTTTGTTGAAGAAGGAGGTCGATCCTTATCGAAATAAAGACACCTAGTGGGCTAAAATTATACCTGGCAGAAGCAGAAGTGAGAGGGACAGTCATCATGCTGTGTCCCATTCCGACCAGGCAGACCTTGCCGCCGGGACCAGTGGCGGCGAGAGCTGTTGACATGGTTTTGTTGAAACCTACACAGTCAAAGGTCACATCCACTTCGGACTTCATGGCTTTTTTAATCTTGGCAACTTCGTCATCCAAATCCTCAGCTTTTGTTGAAACTTTGACGGTTTCATCGGCACCAAGAGACTTTGCCATAGCTAGACGCTGGTCATCCATATCCACAATGACAATTCTTGGCGCCCCAAAAGCACGAGCAGATAGCACGGAAACAAGCCCAATCGGCCCTGCTCCGATGATCAGAACAGTTGTTTCCGGAGTGACATTGGCCCTCCGACAAGCATGAACCCCAACACTCAAGGGCTCACACAATGCCCCTTCCTCCAAGCTCACATTCTCAGGAAGCTTAAAGCACAAGTCCGCAGGATGCACAATCTGTAAAACGACATGAGTATCAAACGGGTTCATAGTATAAAACACTATAACATTATGTTCAAAGCTTATAATAGAAGTTGAAATTTCGTAGTTGTGGGAATATATTACCTGGTTCGCCAAGGAACCATGAACTGGCGGGGTGGCGAAAAACTTCATGTCAGGGCAAAGATTGTAGCGGCCTCCTTTGCACTGATGACACTTTGCGCAGCTGATGCCGGGCTCTAAAGCCACGCGATCGCCAGAAACCAGATGCTTCACCTCGCTACCGACTGCATCTACGATCCCAGCACACTCATGGCCAATCACCATTGGCTCCTTAACTTCATAATCCCCACACTTCATGGTCTGAAAAAATTCCAAAAATAAAAACTTTAGAACAGGGGAGTTCACAATCAATAAACATCAATAGTGGGAAAAATACATGGAAGGGATGAGAACCTTGAGGTAATGAACGTCGCTTCCACAAATGCCTACGGCCTTGATCTTAATTCGAACATCATTGGGTCCTAAAATTAACAAATCCCAAGAAAACAAGGGAGCAAGATGTCAGCCCAAACGAGGATACATAATTTGACATGAAAACTAAAAACTAAAAACTAAAAACCAAAAACGAAAAAAAACAATTGCGAATTAAAAGATCTATGGTATTGAGTGAGATAGATGTATACCAAGTCTCGGGAGATTGAAAGTCTGGATCTTGAGGTTGTTAACACCAATAAGCCATGCAGCCTTGTTTTCTTGTTCCCCTCCTTCTCTTGCTTCCCCGTTAGCCGACTTGCCTCCCCTCCCCATATTATTTGTGCTTCCTTTTTTTGTGTGTTTGATAAAAAATGTTACGTTTATGATGGAACAAAGCGTGCCCTAGCTATAGTATTATATCAAGCCAATGAGGAAATACGCTTGCTGCTCTTGCAATTTATAAATCTATACCATGATTTGGTCTTTGGTTTGCCCCTGCTATATATAGTGTTTTTAGGGTCATTATTTTATGTTTATCCGTAATCATCCTAACTATTTTTGGACAGTCTTCCTTCTGTTACACTATCCATATTTCATTAAGATTTGAGAATTATTATCTCAATGGAAACTCCTTATTCATCTAGGTTTCCGTATGTGGAGGTATTTCAAACCAATCATATTATCTAAAATTGTAGTAGTCTTTACCTTTCTTTACGGTAGAAAAGCTCCTTATTCATTTAGGATTCCTGCATGTGGAGGTATTCTAATTTAATAATGTATTATCAAATTTTATAATTTGTCTTAACTTTCTCACGTTACAGTTTGTGGTACTATAACTTTGTATGTGCATGAAATCTTTATGGACATGGGGAGCCTAACTTCCTACGTCCCAAGAGTATCTAATTTTTAAACTGTTCAAAATATTTGGGTTGGATTTAGCAAGTTGGAATCGGCGGAGTTTTTAGGGAACTGGTAGGGCTGGTTCGGTATGGGATACCGAACTGAAACCCTTGCCCCGATTCCCAAATCGAAATTTTCGGAAATCCCAATTTCAAGACCGATCCCAAACCAAATTTTCGAGATTTCGAGACAAACCGGAAATTCCGAAATAGTTTTGAGCTCATGCGTCAAAACAATTGTAACTCATTGGCCTCAATTCTCTCATGCCTGTAAAGAAAGAGAGGGGAATGTAAGAAACATAGAATTCAAATATGGATGGTATCTTGCTAATAAAACAAATCTAATCCACCATGTTTTATGAAGGCTTCATGGTTAAAAATTCCAAAAATTAAGACCGTGAACTGATAAAAAAAATGAATTTATTTAAACTTGCCTTGCTAGCAAATGTTGTTGGAAACACAAATTGCAGCTGCTGCCATTAAAGTACAAACTATTGAAGAAGAGTGCCAAATTAAATGAAGATTGCAGAACACAAACCCTTATGCAAAAAGATTTATGAAACAATAAACATTTGCACTTTTTCTCTTCGACTACAGGGCTTGATAACATGCAAGTCCCTATTTCACAGAGAGAGTTCGAGGAGGAGGCGAAGAAGCTCGGGTCTGCTAGCTTCGAGGAGGAAATAAACAAACTATAGAAGAACCATATGATTAAAAATCCCAAATTTCAAACGAAATTGAAAACCCCCAAATCCAAAACCCTAGAATTCAAATGCCCAAATTAAAAACGAATTGAAGCCACAAACAGACTTTACCACATCAAGATGACCATATGAAGACAAGAATATTACCTTAATGAAGAGAGAAGTAAAAGGAAGCAGAAGTGGCTGTATTGATTATCAAATGCAGAGGAAGTTGTCAAATGCAAAAAGAAAATGGAAGGCTGGAGTCTGGATGTAGTGTGAAGGTAAGGGTGATAGAGTGAAAGAGTGGAGGTTGAGAGAGAGAGAGAGAGAGAGAGAGAGAGAGAGATTTGTGGGTCTAAACTGAGAGATAGAGAGAGAGAGAGAGATTTGTGGGTCTAAACTGAAAGGAGTATAGGAGTAGGGAGGGAAGTGAAGGTGGAGGTGAGGTCAGAGAGTTTGGCGGAGAGGTCAGAGAGTGAAGGTGAAGGTGAGGTTGGGTTTCATTTTGAATGAACAGCTGAAATTAATTCTCAACCAATCCAACGACTTATAATATCTAAAACTATATATATGTTAACTTCAGTTCAGTTTGGGAATACCAAAACAATAAGATTTTGAGACCGATTCCCGTACCGAAAAGGTCGGGATCGGTACCAAAATTTTCAAGATTTTCGGTTTGATATTTTTTCGGTTTGGTTTCGGAATTTTTTCAGTACGGTTTGGGATTTTTGGTATTTTTTTCCACCCTTAGGAAATGGTGAGTGGATGTGACGTAATGCATAGTCATATCAGCGAAGCAACCGTCCATATTATTCGTTTATTGTGGACCCCGCATCCAATTGGACTTGTGAGTGGAAATGGATCTTCGCCGGATCATTTTTGCTAGGAATGCTAGGAATTCACTGATCGTGACCGTTCATCATACATCGTGAGGTCAGAAATTATTTCAAAATTTAAAATTTAAAATTAAATATAAATAGTACCGAACGAAAACTGACCACACAATATACGATAAAAGGTCACGATCACGTGGTCCTTAGGATCCCCAGGAAAAGGATCTAGCAAGGATCCTTATCCCTTGTGAGTGGGCATATTTTTTTTAAGACCAATTACACCCTTAAAAAATGAGTTGGTCCAAAGTCTATTTAATCTACTCAAATGAATAGTAATTTACTGCAATGAATAGTAATTGGCCAAGTACATCTCCACCCCTAAAAAATGAGATGGGCAAGAGTCTAGTTAATTCTTATTAAAATATTATTAATTTTTTATTATAAAATAATTAAAAAAATATTTTTAATTTCGGATATGATTTTTAACCAATCTTGTCCTGCCACGTATCATTATCCGAAAGTACAATTTTTGTAGAAGATGGTTAGATATTTATATTAAAAAACATTTGTTTACTTTTTTTGTATTTTTAAACAATTTTTAAATTTTTTTATTAAGTTAATCAATCTGGACCGTTAGATTTCAAAAAGGTTGAAATCCAAGAGCCCAAAAGTGGACACATGGCCCACTATAAGATGCTGACATTTTCCTTTCTTTCTTTTTTTAATGTTGGAACTCTATCCCACGTGCCATCAGCAAAACAAGAAATTTACATGGCTGACGTCAACCTGGCGTCATGTAGGTTAGTTCCTTGCTCAGTCCATTATATGTTGAGCTCAAAGCTGACATCCACTTTGGGCCGACCTATTTTGTGGGGTGGAGTGGATTTTTTAGGTGCCAACCTATTTTTTTAGGCTTTGGGCCACCCCCTAAATGAGGGGTGAACTTACTCTTAAAAATTGGGACAACTGATGGTAAACCATGATTATTCACCTTTTCCGGCGGCTGGGAAGACTCACAGAGGCATTTCAGCCTCCCACTAACCACAAGTCTGGCTTCCACACCAGTAGCGGGTTTCGAATCCGAAACCTCCAGTTTTTAATTTTAAGGAAGTATCGTAATCCGTTTTTCTGGATCACCAGCTCGTGGTTGAGTGAGTAGATGAGTAGTAATTATTAAACCCAATTTAAGATAATTTAAGATGTAGTGTTGTGCCCAAAAACTAACATATTTGGAAATAATTGTTATTGGATAAAGGAGAACATATAGGATCAACTAATATAATTTTCGAAAAATCAAAAAGTAAAAGTGAGTTATGATGATTTTTATATCATAAAATTGTATTTACTTTTCACTCTAAACAATAATTGTTTTTGTGCAAGTCCAACAGTTTGGAAAGAAAAAGGCCAAGCACAAGGGCGATTGATATTCACAAATGTTTTTTTTTTTTAATGTTTTCTTCGTCTTATCCCACATATTATTACCGTCGTAAACTTTTTGGGTAATTTTAAATGTTTAACTTGGTAGTGTGTTGCAGAAACAGCCCTGAGGGACTGCAAGTGGTGTCACTGTACATGTCCCCCAAATCAGAAGGGCCTCGATTTTTCATTTTTGCATGTGTATATATATTTAAATGTGTTTGTAGCCACTTAATGCTACAGTTTAGTGGTAATCCTCTTCATTTGTAAGTTTGTAAGTGAGAGGTCTTAAGTTTGATTATCACAAAAGACAAATTTGAACCACATTATTGCAAGCCCATTGTGAGGCTTAACACAATCCCTCACTCCTTTAGTGTTAATAAAATCGTTTGTTAAAAAAAAAAAAAAAGTGTTTGTTAGCGCAGTTGTTTGTATGAAATTCTTAATCCTATTACAATTTAGTACAACTAAAATGAAATTACAATCTTAGCATTATTCAGGTTCTAGATTTAGTTTAGCACATGACTTTTGAAATCTTAGGGTCAGCCATGTTGTGTTGAACTTTGTAGATTTTTAGAGTGTAAACTTGGTAAGTTTTTTGAATTTTTAAAATAATTTTTTTAGTAGTTTTTATGATTTATTTTTTCAATTTCTTAGAGTTAAATTAATGGTAAATTACATAAAACTACCTTAATTATTAGTCGAACCATAATATCATATCTTATGTTTTAAACATTGCAATGTCATACCTCAACTTATGAATTCTTTGCAATGTCAGACATCTGTTAAATTTTTTGTTAATTTGGTTGTTAAATGATGATGTGGCAGGAGAGGGCCCACTATAAAAAATTAATTAATTAATAATAAATTAAAAAATTTACTTTAATTAGTTATTTTAAAAAATACTAGTATATGAGCACACACAAAGTGTGTAAGAAAATTTTTTATTTTTATTTTTGAAATAGAAGGAGAGAGGAAGAGAGTGATAGAGAATGTGAGAGTGAGAATTTTTTTATTTTTTATTTTTTAATTAGAAATATATTAGGATTACATATATGTGAGATTTAAAAAAACAGTAAAATTTAGTTCTGTTTAATTACATTTCTGTCCCATATTTTTTCTTCATGTTCAGTTTTAATTAAAGGATTAAACTGATAATTTCATAAGATTTTTGTTGACAACAAGTGTTTTATTAATTATTCATTAATTGAAAAGGTTAAAAGCCTTTGTATAGGTTTCTGGCGATGGTGCACTTCTGAGTTATCCCAAATCCAGCAATTCATGTTATTTACAGACAAGATAAGAGAAGCAACTGGGTAGGCAGCAGTGGCCCAACCTCACCTACCTCTCCTTCTTTTGTCCATCACCATTTTCACAGAGATGGAGGAAACCCACAAATCAATTGAAGAGTGGCGACACCAATTCGAAAGATTAAGAGAAATTTTCGAAATACACAGCCCCAGCTGTTGGTACTTGCCAAGCAAATACCACAATCCCCAAAACCTACCCCAAAACCTAGTTATCTATGTCTCTCGACGTGACTACAATCGTAGCAGGCGAATGGTCAACGCCAGATCTCAGATTCTAACCTTCGATTTCATTGGTGGCTGCTCGCCGGGTTTCGATCGACACCATTTCGAGGTTAGAGTGAGAGAAGGAGGAAGAGAAAGAGATAAAGGAGGTCGCCGGAATAGAAAATTAATAGTTGATAAAATAACACAAAATTTGAAGAAAAAAATTTACCCCAAAAAACAGAAGCAGTAATAGAAAATTATTATTTTTCAAAATAAGTAATTAAATAATTTTAATTGATAAAATAAAATTTTCTTAATTTATTAATAATAAATTTTTTTTTTATTCCAATTGGCGGAAGAGTGGATCCTGATCTTGCCACATCATCATTTAATAGTTAAATTGACTAAAAATTTAACGGAAGTTTGACATTGCAACGAATTCATAAGTTAATGTATGACATTGCAATGTTTAAAATATAAGGTATGAGATTGTGGTTCAATTAATAGTTGAAGTAATTTTGTGTAATTTACTCTTAAATTAATTATGGCTTCACAAATTCGACGTAAGATTTTTTCCCCTCCTATTCCTATTCATTCTCTCTCCTCCTCTCAAATATTATTTTTTGTTTTATTATCTTTATAAAAAATCAACATAAGATATTTACATGACTTAACCGTAATTATTTAAGTATAAAAAAAAAGGAATGGAAGAAAGATGAGGGAAAGATCCTCTCCCACAAATCAAAGAGAAGTCTTCCATATTCATTTCATCCTTTCAGAATCAATGACACATTCACCAACGTCATAAAATGTATGCATCAAATGGAGCTGTTTGGCTTTGGTCCTTCGCGTGCGGGTGGACCCTCACCTTGTCTAATGCTTCTCCAAGAGAACGCATGCCCTTGTAAGAGCAAGTCCACCCCTAAGGACTTTGTGCCAGCACCCAGCGCATTTATCCACTCAAATAAACAGTAATAGACCCCAATAAACAGTAATAGGCCAATGCATCTCCACTCCTAAAAAAAAAATAGCCTAGTCAATTTTATTAAAATATTATTATTTTTTATTATAAACACTTTCTTCTTCTTCCTCCTTCAACTCCTCCGACTGTCTTTGGTCCCCACGATGCGCCAATTCCTTCACTCCCCATCGCCATAGCCCGCAGCTAGTCCTCAGCCTCAACCCCGCGTCAGCAGCCGCTTCCCCCACCCTCTCGCCGCCGCCTCCACCACCACCGCCTTCTCTCTCCTCCTCTTCCTCCTGGTCTGCTTTCGAAAAATCACCCAGAAACGGACTGCCCCGGAATCCAACTCCAAGCCCCCCCACCGGTACTCCTACTCCGTCCTCCGCCGAGCGACCGACTTGTTCTCTTCGACGCACCGATTCAGCCAAGGCGGCTCCGGGTCCGTGTTCTTCGGCATAATCCCACACACTCGCCAAGACGTCGCCGTCAAGCTCGTGGACTCCGGGTCGCTCCAGCGCGAGCTCAAGTTCCAGAACGAGCTCCAGAGCGATTCACCGCTCGTTGTCTCGGTGCTCGGATTCTCCTTCGACGCCACGCTGACGTCAGATAGGCCAGTCCCAAGGTCTGTCGATTTTAGGCCAGCTTGTGGACTGGCTTGGGCTGGGTGCCAGTCGATTTCACGGGATGGAGTGAATTGACAGGGTGCCAGCCTGGTTTTTTGACTGGGTGCTGGGCTATTCCACCTCCGGTGGAACTGCTCTAAGAATTTGGATAAGTGCTTTGATAGCTGTTCTGTCAATTCTTGCAAGGGTATGCGTATGTTTAGAGAATCATTAGTAATTTAGTGATTTTTTCTGGGCTGCAATTATTTTCACCGTTAGATTTGATTTTTTTTTTAGGCAAAAAGGAGTTCAATTTAATTATCTTTGTAATTAGGTGACTGTTGAAGATGCTCTTCACTTCAAAAGAAAAAATCACTTCGAAAATGTATTTTTGTCGTAATTCTCATTTATTGCGCTTATCTGATATGCTATCCCACAATCACTTGCAGCCAAGCCATTTATAATTGAATATTGAATTATGAAATACTTAATTTAGCCAAAATAAGAAATGTGGTTATCTCATAATTATATCATCAAATCAACTATTTAATTAATTAATTTATTTATTTTTCGACAATATCTAATCGACTATTGAGCAGAAGCGACCAAAACAAAAACTAAATTTAAAAAAAAAAAGAAAAAAAAAAGCAGCTCCATTTCCACGGTAGAAATGTGTGTGCTAGAATCAAAGAGGCATTAGGCACAAAAACGGATAATCGGTGCCACGAGAGCGTCCACCAAGATACGCGTAGGCAACGTAATATATTTGGTTTAGGATAAATATGAGTTAAGCTAGTGGAGCAATATAATATATTCGGCAGAGAGCTAGTTGAGCAATATAGTATATTAGTAAGAGTTTTAGTAGCATCTCTGGACTGCCGATCAAACGGCTAGTCTTGTTTTTCTTTATCAAAATGATCGATGGCCTCATTATGGACAACGACGACATTGTAGCATGATGATGAAGTTTGCAATATATGGAAAATTAGAGGGCTGTGAAGTTTACATTTTTTTAGTTTATTAGTATGTTTTTTTAAGTAAGAAATATTGACCTTTGAGTTTTACTTTTATGTATGTTTTGTTGTTCCTGTCAGTTGGGTAATATCTTACAGATAATATTTTAAATAAAAGACTCAATGTTATTGTGAGGCCAGCTTCAGTGGGCTTAGTTGACTTTGTCATTAGGGTTTTCTATAATCTTATAGTTTCTTATTCTCTTGTACTCGCATAACAAAGTTGATTAGTTTTTGTACTCGGCGCATTGCTCAAGCTTTCAATTTCAAGGCAAGTGGAGATACAATTTAAAAATATAAACTAGTATATGGTTATGGCACAAAAGGCTGGGGCATGCATCATTCGATTATCTTAAGAAGTTATTTCCTTCACTATTTACAAATCTCAGTAATGTTGATTTTATATGTGACATATGTGAGTTAGCAAAACGACATCATGTTCCGTTTCCCTTAAGCATTATACGAGCAACAAAGTCTTTTTGCTCGTTCGTTCAGATGTATGGGGTCTAGCAAAAATTCCTAATCCTAGAAGAGCTCGATGGTTCCTTTCCTTTATAAAAGATGGCACCCGCATAACATGGATTTGTCTACGAAAGACAAAAGGGAAAGTGAGTTCTATGTTTCAAAGGTTCCACAAAAAGGAGGGTACCCAGTTATAGAGTAAGATTTAGGTTATGAGTTCTGATAAGGACGATGAGTTTGCGAGTCATGAACTCATTCAGTAATTGTAAAATCATGGATCCATCCTCCCCTAGGATGTAATATGCCTTCTGAGAATTAAAGTGTGCAAAATAAAGAAGCTTCTCTACAGCCTCAAACAGTCTCCACGAGCATGGTTTGACAAATTGATTAAGTTAATGAAGGCCTTTGTGTATATACAAAGTAATTCCTACCATATATTATTTTTGAAATGTAAGAAAGATAAAAGCATTGCATTGATTATTTATGCAGATGACATGGTGGTGACATGGCATGATCTTAAAGAAAGAGCTGCATTACAAACATATATGTCTCAAGAGTTTAAGATGAAAGACCTTGGTCCCTTAAAGTATTTCTTGGGGATGGAAGTGTCTATATCCCCGAAAGGTGTTTTTTTTGTTTTTGTTTTTTTCCTATCTCACGGAAATACGTGATGAAATTGCTAACATAAGTTGGAATACTTGCTTGCAAACTTGCTGATACATCTATAGAGTTGAATCATATGTTGGGTAAGTAAGAAGATCAAACACCAATCAATAAGGAACAATATCAGTGTCTTGTTGGAAGGTTAATATATTTGGCACACATCATCTCAAATATTACATATGCAGTAAGTGTGGTTAGCCAGTTCATGCATGCTCCTAGAATTTAGAATTGTAGTGCGGATAATCACATTTTGAGATACCTAAAGGCTGCTCTAGAGAAATGACTTATGTTCTCAAAACATGGTCGCTTGGACGTTTTCGGGTATACAATTGCAAACTGGGCGTGTTTTACCACTGAAAAATGTTCAACTTTAGGTTATTTCACATTTGTTGGAGGCAATCTAGTTACCGGGCGAAGCAAAGAAAAAAATGTTGTTGCCAAATCAAGCCCTGAGGTAGAGTTTCGAGGTATGTCTTATAGCATTTGTGAGTTGTTATGAGTTCAAAATTTACTTTCGACTTGGGCTTTAGACCACGGAAACCAATGAAGTCACATTGTTATAACAAGGTTACAATTGACATTGCTCACAATCCAGTTCAACATTATCGAACTAAACATGTTGAAATGGAATTGGAAGCTGAACTAATTTCCGTGCAGTTTGTTAAGTCTAAAGATCAACTGGTAAATGTTCATACAAAAGTTGTCTAGCAAAGTATATCATAGCTCACTTGACAGGTTGGGCGCTAGTGACATATGCGCATCAATTTGAGGGAGAGTAAACATAGAGTCCTTGTTTGAATGCCGTAGTGGCCAATCTGTTATCCGGCTTCTCTACTTCCGCCAGTTCTACGCAGAAGCGTTTCAGATAAGTCTTAAGGATTTTTGTCTTTTGACTGAGGGGTCATCCTAAACATGGCTTTGACGTTAGCGCACATCGCGGTACACCGACTATGTGTTTGTGAAAGGGTCAACTATGCTTTCAAAGCATTCGATGAATCTAGATGGTGATTACGAGAACCACCTCATTGTGGGAACTTTCAAGGTGGATGGGAACATCTTGCACATCCAAGCGTCGTTGTTGTTGTATAGTGCCATGGTGTTGTGGTAGTGCATGATGTTGTAATCTGGATCAGAGTCCTCGGAGCGATTTAAATCGTGGCTGAGAGAACTTCTGCGGTGGTGGCATGGTGAAATTATAGGAGCCAGTAAGGGTGGCAAAGGTGAAATTATAGGAATGCTATGAAGTAGTGGGGACTCTAGCAACCGAGAGAAGAACAAGATTTAAATTTGGATCCAATTTCTTAGCTCGCGGTTTCCATAACACTTTGTTTGCTGACATATAGCAGAATGAATTAATGGTTGCTAAAAGAAGTTGTCTTTGATCTGTAGGTCAACATTACTGTCTAAGACCTATAGCAGAAGAACGTTGTGAGGGGACTTGGAAGAGCCCTTTGCTCACTTACTGCCACAGCCTAATGAAGTATCGACGATAACCAAGATAGTTCAGTTACATTTTGGTCAATTAATTAAACAGAAAGAACAAAGAGAAAGTGCAAAATTGTGTTTCAGGTAATCAGTTACAGTTAATTAAGCCAGCTGGACACCAAAGCTCAATCAAACAAATGGGTGACAGACTGAGAGGAAGAGGCATGGTAATACAATAATATCAGTTGCATCAGAGTATAGAGGCAAATTAATAATAATTTATTCGCATACATCCATATAGCCAGGCCAATCAATTTGTAGAGAGCATAGCCATGTATATTAATTCAAGAAACAATAGAGTTTCTTTGGGTAGATCTCACCCATCAAATTTGACGGTGACGTGGTACATACTACATACTAAGAACGACCATAATAGAAATTGGAAGTGCAGGTGCCAATATTTAAAAAAAAATATACATCACCAGAATCTAATTGGTTAAAGCCAGAAAGCGAAGTTTGGTTCTCAAGATGTATCTGCCTACAAAACATAAAAGAAGATGTTCTATTTTGTACTGTGGCTTGAAGGGGAAGAGTACCCTAAACTTTCGTGGTGTCATGGCTCCTCTCAACAACAATCTTTGACATTCCAAACAACTAAAAACGAATGCACAATTACCCAATTAGAGTCAGAAGCAAACCGATTGAACAATGAAAACACTTATGGACAGGCTGTATTAGCATTAAATGTGAAGGAGGAACAAACCTTCTGCATGGTGTTCTTGAAGCAAGTTTTGTGTTCATCCTTAGATGCATTGACAAGATCATTAATGTGATCCTTCAAATCCTCCAAGAAAGTGGCTTGCTCGTTCTTCTTTCGACATGAAGTGGCGGCTGGAATGGCTCATGTTGAGTTTTCTATGATTCCATTGTCAATAGTGCTTGATACATAAGTCATTCATTATGGAAAAATATACACGGATGATAGAGCAATGGCCTTCAAATCTAAAATAATGCAAACCGATCATTTCAAACTAAATCCAAATCACTTCTCAAATGCACACCATAATTAAATACTTAATTTGTAATTAGGTGTACTGGAAAATACATACAGAGAAGAGGCAATGACGTAGTGCAAGTTCATTATATCGGTTGAAAATAAAAAACAAACTGGGCTTAAACATCCCTCAACAATCCCTAACAAACTAATTAGAATTTTAAACGTAAAATTTTACAAAATCCTGAATAATTTACTAAAACCTAATTATATTAAATCACAAATTTGAAGTAGATTTTGACATGCAATAGGTATAGAAGGTACCATAGGTGATGAGGAATCGTTTCAGACCAACCTCGATGGCGGGCGTTGCCGGGATCGTCGATCATCATCGGAAAACTGGAATCCCAACTAAGCTCGTAGGTTCCAGGGAGATGATGTTGATGGGAACAACTGAAGGAAAGGAAGTTCAATTGGAACGATCAGGAGCTAATTGGCTTTTGAAATTTGGTGAGGGAATTCACTCCTGAAATTTGGAGCAGAAGCTTTTTTTCGAATCCAAGTCGAACGGAAGAAGTCATGGAGAAACGTGATCAGGGCGGGGCATTTTTATCAGTGGCAAAAATGTAATAAAACAAACTTAACAGGGCCAAAACAGGAAACACACTGTGATTATGAACAGTGCCACACGTCCCATTGAGTTTAATATTACAAAATGTTAATAAAATCAAAGATAAATTAATGAAAATGATTTGAAAATTTTGAGTTTTAACGATAAAGATAAAATAAAAGGTAAAGTGAATAGTAACATGATTGAATTTTTAGTATAAAATATGGTTTTTCGTTAAATGAACAGCACCGGGAGCTTTTCGTTAAATTCCCTAAAATCAATTGAATAAAAAGAAAGATTCTATTAAAACACCTCTTGATATCTGGCTTTTACTAAGACAAGAATATTAGGCTTTATAACTTTAGGGTGAAAAAAAAAATGCCTTGTGGTGAAAAAGAGAAAGAAAAATAGTTACTTGCGAATGAAGCAATTAAAAGCTCATTTGAAAGTGTTTTTAAAATGAGTGAAAGCTCTTTTAGTGAAAAAGTTTTTGAAATCAAGCCTTAGTAAAAATCTAAGTGAATCACGAAAAAATACTTTTAGTACTTCCTGCAAGAAGCACATATCTAATGCTTCTTTCAAAAAGCACTTAAAGTACTTTTGGAATCTAAAATCAATTTCATCAAAAAAATGCTTTCAATTATTTTAAAAGCACTTCCAAACGAGTCTGAAGGCTTCCATCTTAAATGGTGTGATTTGAACTATTAAACCTCATGTTAAATAAACACAGCTTTTGGAGAAAAAAAAAATGTCTTATAATGATTGAATAACCTTTCGGCATAATGTAACATTACATAGTTCATATATCTTGAAGGAAATAATGGCAAATAAAAAATATTTCAACTCTGTACATCCAACTTTCCGAACCATCACAACTTGTCCTCTCAAAGAATCAGAAATTTAGTAACTTATAGCTAATTTCTATAGATTAAACATGACTTTGATGGCGTTACCCCCACGAGCACTGGTCGCAAAGGCTTCTTCCACCTCCTTTTCGGTGAATCCAAACCGGTGAGTAATAAGCGGCTTCACGTCGATCTTCCCAGTTCTCAAGAAATCGAGGCAAAGTGGCCATGTGTTCTTGTACCGGAAAACTCCAACCACATCAACTTCCCTGTGTTCAAACAACAAAATAATTAATCAAATAAGATCACATAATTTGTTAATGTACGATCAGCTAGGGGTCGATTCTTATAAGAGAAATTATACGAAATGAAAACAATTTATACCTAGCAGCAGCTGGAGTTAGAGGGACAGTCATCATGCCGTGTCCCATTCCGACAAGGCAGACTTTACCGCCGGGGCGAGTGGCGTTGAGACCCGTCGACATGGTTTTATTGAAACCAACACAATCGAAGGTCACATCCACTTCGGAATTCATGGCCTTTTTAATCTTGTCAACTTCATCATCTAAGTCCTCCATTTTTGTCGAAACTTTCACGGTTTCATCAGCGCCGAGAGACTTTGCCATAGCTAGACGCTGGTCATCCATATCCACAATGACAATTCTTGGTGCCCCAAAAGCACGAGCGGCCAAAACAGAAACCAGACCAATGGGCCCTGCTCCGATGACCAGAACAGTTGTTTCGGGACCAACATTGGCTCGACGACAAGCGTGAACCCCAACACTTAAGGGCTCGCACATTGCCCCTTCCTCCAAGCTCACGTTCTCCGGCAGCTTAAAACATAGATCCGCAGGATGCACAATCTGTTAAAACGAAATGGTTATTAGATGGTCGTAATCCTATAGAATTCATATGGCACAAAGCTTAAGAAAGTCGAAATTTTTTAATTGTATCTATTAATACCTGATTAGCCAAGGAACCATGAACCGGTGGGGTGGCGAAAAACTTCATGTCCGGGCACAGATTGTAGCGGCCTCCTCTGCACTGCTGGCACCGTGAGCAGCTGATACCAGGTTCTACCGCGACGCGGTCACCGGGCACCAGATGCTTCACCTCGCTGCCAACTTTTTCTACGATCCCAGCACATTCATGTCCGATCACCATTGGCTCCTTAACCTCAAAATCCGCACATTTCATTGTCTTGAGGTAGTGAACATCGCTTCCACAAATGCCGACAGCCTTAATCCGAATCCGAACATCATTGGGTCCTAAAATTAAAAAATCCCAAGAAAACAGGGAGCTATACGTGAGCAACGATATAAACGATGAAAACTAAAAACTGAAAGAAATAACCATGGAATTAAAAGAAGGGAGAGAGGTAAATACCGATACTGGGGAGCTGGAAAGGTAGGATCCTGATGGTGTTGACATCAACAAGCCAAGCAGCCATGTTTTCTTGCTTAATAGGTTTGGCTTCCTTACCCACTTCGTTAATCAATTGCCCTCCCTTACCCATAATGTTTTTTATACTGGTTCTGTTTTTTTCTGAATTGTCTTGCTTTCTCTGTGTTTTGTGTTTCAAAGACAAAGAGTACTTGTGTTTTATGATGGAACAAGCTTTGGCTAGGGTGTGGTATTTATAGAAGTCTTGATAGTCAGATTTGGTCAAGTTGGTTTGTACACCTATATAAAATTTGGATAAGCCAAACCTGAAACACTATCTAATTCCTTACAGAAAATAATAAATTATTGTTTAAAGCGGACATTTCTTGGATGTTTCCTGAGGAGGAGTCATTCCGAGTGCTTTTCTTACCATGTGTTTCTTCAAGAATTTTTTTTTTCTTTTTCTCAAAGTGCTTTAATTTTGTTACGTTTTTAAAAAGAATAATATTAGAGAAATTAAATTTAGAGATTAAATTTACAAACTAAATGATATGTCACAAATAAAAATAAGCACGTCTATCAACGTTGTAATAAACCAATCATCAACTTACATGTTCTTTAATTTCCAAAATTTAGTTTCTAAATTTAGTCTTTCTAGCATTACTCTTTTTAAAATTATTTGATTATTGGCCAATTTCCCCCATCAACTTTAATTTTGGCCAATTCCCCCCCTCAACTCTCATAATTAGTCAATTTCCCCCCTCAACTTTAATTTGGCCAATTTTCCCCCTCAACTCTCATAATTAGTCAATTTGCATCCTACTGTTATTTTTTTTTTTAATTTTCCATCTATTCTTTTTTTTTTTTTCAATCTTTCTAATAACTTCCAACAAAGTACTAAAATTAATATAAACTCACTTGCATAATATACGGTAAAATGTACAAAAACATAATACAATTAGTATGTGATATGGGTTGATTATAAGAAAAAGTTATGAATCGGGTTTAAAGCATGTAGAAGAAGAAATAATAACAAAAAGACATAATAATCCTAAACTCATGGATCAGACCTATTTCGATAAAATAGGTTATTCTTAATAAGGAGTCGAAAATTATGAATTGACTAGCCATTTTTGCATTAAAGCTCGATTCTCTGCAATTTACTGGAACTTAACTTTCACTTTTATAAAGAAAATTGTATTCACATACAAAAATGTACACATCAATCCTTTTCGTTATAAATTTTGTATAGTAAAAAATCAAATAAAATTACTCCACACTGATTTATTATGACTAATAATACTATCTATGATAAATTGTAAAATTCTAAATTTTAATCTATTTGTAATAGGATAAAGATATAGGAAAATGATTAACATACTGTGAACACGGAAAATTCCTGAAACGAAAGAGACAAGAACAACGTGCACAAACAAATATTTGTATTTGATGATTTTGGGTTACAATCTCTCTATAACTTGATCATCTGATTCGATCTCCATAAGGCGTTGATTTGTGGATGTTTCGTTGATCCAAGGGCCGTCGAGGCTTGATCTTGGGATGAACAGTTGTTTGTTTCTTCAAGGGGCTGTGGGCTTGATCTTTGAAGGTGGATTTGAGCGGATCTTCAAGGAGCCGTTGGGGCTTGATCTTGAGGATGAATGTTTCTTCAAGGGCCGTTAAGGCTTGATCTTGAATAACGGTGATGAACAGATCTTCAAGGGCTTTTGGGCTTGATCTTGAAGAAACAGTGATGAACGGATCTTCAAGGACTTTTGGGCTTGATCTTGAAGAACGGTTGGATGTGTGGATTTGTTGATGCTGTTGATCCAAGGGTCGTCGGGGCTTGATCTTGGAAGAATGATGAACGAAGAACGAAGAACACTTTCTTCAAGGGTCGTCGGGGCTTGATCTTGAGGATGAACGATGAACGAAGAACGAAGAACGAAGAACACTTTATTCAAGGGTCGTCGGGGCTTGATCTTGAATTGGTGGATGATTGTTGATCCAAAGGGCCGTTGGGGCTTGATCTTTAAGATGAACGAAGAACAAAGAACGAAGAGAGCTTTCTTGATTCTTCGGGAACCTGGATGCTTGAGAGCTTCGGAGTTTCAAAGCTTCGGAGTTTCAGAGCTTCAGAGCTTGCTTAATGATTTTGGTCCCTCCCCCCTAAATGAATGAAATGGGCTTGTATTTATAGAATTTTCCAAGGCCTAATTTTGAATATAATATCCCAGATGAAATAAGTCGTTTCTGACAGGTGTTGACATGTGTCCTATTTGATGACTTTCCAACTCATTTCAATTTTCGTTGAGTCACACGTTACGTGTAAAATTTATGTAATACATGAGCGTTGCCACTTTGATTTATCGGTCAACATTTATTTACCGAAATTTCGATGTCTACACATACATCTTATTTAGTTTCTTACACACACTTGTTTAATTATGATCAAATTAAAAAATTAATAGTAGGGTGCAAAATGACTAATTATGAGAGTTGAGGGGGGGAATTGGCCAAATTAAAGTTGAGGGGGGAAATTGACTAATTATGAGAGTTGAGGGGGGAAATTGGCCAAAATTAAAGTTGAGGGGGGAAATTGGCCAATAGTCACAAGTTGAGGGGGGGAATTGATGAATACCTCTTCCTTACAGAAAATAATAAATTATTGTTTAAAGCGGACATTGCTTGAATGTTTCCTGAGGAGGAGTCATTCCGAGTGCTTTTCTTACCATGTGTTTCTTCAAG